GAAAGTCCAGGCCCTTCTTCCATTTCTGTTAGCACAGTGGGGATGTGGACATGGCGTTTCTGCAGTTCTGGCTGGAGTACAGCAGTTACTGTGTACTGTCGTGATAGGCTGTGCCTTTCCTAGTCTTTTGGCTAGAGAGAGGAGACTTTTGGGGGGTGCTTTTTGTGTGTCCATTTGCATTTCTGAGTTGCCAGCTTCCTTGGTTCCAAGACTAGGATATATGAGGTCAACAGAGACCCAGAGAACTCACCACCATGTTGTCACTTGAGTCTGACTGGGTGCCATTGCCAGTGGCTTGCTTCTCTCTACTTTTTAGAGTTTTCTTATGTTTGTTTTAGATACAATGTTGAAGATTTGTAGTGTGCTTAGTGAAAATAATAGGGAAATAAATATATGTCTGTTTTCCGCAGAGCAGAAGTACAAATTGGTTTGTGGGTTTTTTGTTTGTTTGTTTTTGTTGTTGTTTTGTTTTTGAGACAGGGTCTCACTCTGTTGCCTAGGCTAAAGTGCAATGGCATGATCATGGCTCACTGCGGCCTCAACCTCCTGGGCTCAGGCGATCCTCCCACCTCAGCCTCCTTAGTAGTTCGGCTACAGGCATGCACCACCACCCCGGCTAAGTTTACATTTTTAGTAGAGATGGGTTTTCTCCATGTTGGTCAGGCTGGTCTCGAACTCCTGACCTCAAGTGATCCGCCTGCCTTGGCCTCCCAAAGTGCTGGGATTACAGGCGTGAGCCACTGCGCCCAGCTGCTAATTTATTTTTCTACAGACGTGGTCTCATTATGTTGCCCAGGCTGGTCTCATAAAACTCCCGGGGTGAAGTCCTCCCTCCTTCGCCTCCCACATTGCTGGGATTATAGGCATTAGCCACCATGGCTGGCCTAAATTTGGTTTTGAATGAATTAATCAACCTGTCTTTGGTTTACCTATGTATTCAAGTGGAGATACCAAGTAACTGGTTGGGTATGGGTTATTGGAACTCAAAACACATTTTGGAGATGCTGGGGAATATATGGTAATTAAAACAACAGTTGAGATAGAGGTCCTCAGGGATTAAGCTCAGACTTAATGAAGGGAAGAAAGAACTGGGACTTAGCTTGAGGAACTGTAGCATTTTGTGGCCAGGGAAAGGGAAATGAACCTGCAGGAAGACAACTGTAGCTGTTAAGACAGGAGGGAAGTTGGTGTCAGCAAAGTCAGACTTATGATGGGATGGCAGCAGCACGGGTGCAGAGTAGGTGCTAAGACTATTCACTCCTGAGGAGTTGATTCTTTTTGAATGTTGTGTGTGTGTGTGTGGGGGGGGCCTTTCTATATGCAAACACATACATATATGCATACACACATATTATTGGTTCATACTGCTTCCAATCTAAATTCAGAACTACAAGATAGCTACATGGTATCCACATCTCTTTTTCCCCTGGTGGCTCAGTTTCTAAAATTCGCTGGGTCTAGACTGTTGTGGTCTCTTGATGCCCCCCAGTATTGGAGTGAGCAAAACTACTCCCAATTCCAGCTCTTCCCGAATTGTCCTGTGGCATGTTTCAGTGACCACCGCATCTTAAAATCAGCAAAATGTATTGAGATGTTGCAGGTGGAGACTCCAACAGGGGTGGCAGTCCATGGTGTCTGAATGTGGCCTATAGATATGTATTGTTGAGGCTGAGTTTTTAATTTTTTTTTTTTTTTTTTGAGACGGAGTCTTGCCCTGTTGCCCAGGCTGGAGTGCAGTGGCGCGATCTCAGCTCACTGCAAGCTTCGCCTCCTGGGTTCACGCCATTCTCCTGCCTCAGCCTCCCTAGTAGCTGGGACTACAGGTGCCCACCACCGCATCCAGCTAATTTTTTGTATTTTTAGTAGAGACGAGGTTTCACCATGTTAGCCAGGATGGTATCAACCTCCTGACCTCTTAATCTGCCCGCCTCAGCCTCCCAAAGTGCTGGGATTACAGGCGTGAGCCACCACACCCAGTCAAGTTTTTAATTTTTTACATCATTGTTGGCTGTTGGCTTTTGAGGGTTGGGGTGTGTGTGTGTGTGTATATATATGTGTGTGTATGTATATGTATACATGTATATGTATTTGTGTGTGTGTATATATATGTATATATATGAGACAGAGTCTTGCTCTATTGCCCAGGCGGCTGGAGTGCAGTGGCACAATCTCAGCTCACTGCAACCTCCTCCTCCCAGGCTCAAGCACCCCTCCTGTCTCAGCCTCCCGAGTAGCTGGGACTACAGGAGCGTGTCATCATGCCCAGCTAATTTTCATAATTTGTTTTTTTGGGTTTTGTTTTGTTTTGTTTTGTTTGTAGAGACAGGATCTCACTATGTTGTCCAAGCTGATCTCAAACTCTTGGGCTCAAGCAGTCATCCCACCTCAGCCTCCCAAAGTGCTGGGATTATAGGCATGTGCCACCACGCCTGGCTAATTTTGTATTTTTAGTAGAGATGGGGTTTCACCATGTTGGTCAGTCTGGTCTCGAACTCCTGACCTCAGGTGATCCACCCACCTCGGCCTCTCAAACTGCTGGGGTTACAGGCGTGAGCCACTGTGCCTGGATGAGAAAGGATTTATTTATTTATTTATTTATTTATTTATTTATTTATTTATTTATTTGAGACAGAGTCTTGCTCTGTCGCCCAGACTAGAATGCAGTGGCACAATCTCAGCTCACTGAAACCTCCACCCCGTGGGTTCGAGAGATTCTCCTGCCTCAGCCTCCTGAGTAGCTGGGATTACAGGCCTGTACCACCACGCCTGCCTAGCTTTTGTATTTTTAGTAGAGATGGGGTTTCGCCATGTTGGCCAGGCTGGTCTCAAACCCCTGGCCTCAAGTGATCCACTTGCCTCAACTTCTCAAAGTGCTGGGATCACAGGTGTGAACCACCACACCTGACCGGAGGAAAGATTTTTATGGAAGACAGCAACACGTTTGCCTGTTTTTGTGCTGAGAAGCAGAGTGTGGTAGAAAAACAGTAGATACTGGAAAAGGAGTCAAAAGCCATATGATTTAGGGCCCACAACAAGGATTCTGGCTTTCACTCTAATTGCAAAGAGAAGACAATAAAACATCTCATTTTTGTTAAAAAATCTTTTTTTGCACCAGGCATGGTGGCTCACACCTGTAATCCCAGCACTTTGGGAGGCCAAGGTGAGAGGATCACTTGAGCCCAGGAGTTTGAGACCAGCCTAGGCAACATAATGAGACTCCGTCTCTCATTAAATAAATAAATAAATAAATAAATAAATAAATAAAAAACAGAAGCGGCAGCTTGTGGAAGCGTAGAGTAGTGTAGAGAGAGATAACAGGGCCTTGCACTGGGCGAGCAACCATGGAAAGAAACCTGCAGTTCCTGGCAACAGGGTGGGCGTGGCTCTCCAAGTAAGGGAATGACTCCTTGTGCATCCAGGTGGGCAACTGTGCCACATGGAATTACCTATATGGGAAGATTGGTATTTAACACACATGGAAATCACCATGCTACTTTCTTCCTCTATGATTTTGACTATTTTAGATTCTACACATAAATGAAATCATGCAGTATTTGTAATTCTGTGCCTTTTTTATTTCACTTAACAGAATGTCCTCCACGTTCATCCATATTGTTATATGTCAGGATTTCTTTATTTTTTTAAGGCAGAATAATATTCCATTGTGTATATAAACACATTTGCGGCTGGGATCGGTGTCTCACGCCTGTAATCACAGCAGTTTGGGAGGCCTAGGAGGGTGGATCACGAGGTCAGGAGTTCAAGACCAACCTGGCCAAGATAGTGAAACCCTATCTCTATTAAAAATACAAAAATTAGCCGGGTGTGTGTGTGCCTGTAATCCCAGCTACTTGGGAGGCTGAGGCGGAGAATTGCTTGAACCTGGAAGTGGGAGGTTGTGCCATTGCCCTTCAGCCTGGGTGACAGAGTGAGACTCCTTCTCAAACAAACGAACGAACAAATTCCTTTATTCATCCATCAACAGATAGTTGTTTCCATATCTTGGCCACGGTGAATAATGTTGCAGCTACGGGAGTGCAGGCATCCCGTGGAGTTTCATTTCCTCCGGATCTATAGCCAGAAGTGGGATTGGTGTATCCTAATGTAGCTCTAGTTACAATTTTTTGAGGAACTCTATACCGTTTTCTGTAATGATTGTACCAATTTACATTCTTCTGATAGTGGCCATCCTAATGGGGGTGCAGTGATTTCTTGAGTTTGGGTTTATATTCCTCTTATACCTAGAGATGTTTACCATCGTTTTATATGCTTGTTGCTCGTTGCTCATTTGCATACCTTCATTGGAGAATTGCCTGTTCAAGTCGTTTGTCCATTTTAAAATCAGGTTTTGGTTTTGTGGTTGTTGAGTTGTAAAAAGTTCCATATAAATCCAGGATATATTTCAAATCAGATATATGCTATGTAAGTATTTTCGTCTATTCTGTAGATTGCCTGTTTCCTTTGATTAGCTAAAGTTTTTAAGTTTGATGTAGTCCCATTTGCCTATTTTTGCTGTTATCTGTGCTTCTGATGACATATTCAAGAAATCATTGCCATCTCCAACATCCTTACGTTTTCCCTTTTACTTTAGTAGTTTATAAAAATTTTTGGTCCCACATTTAGGTTTTTAATCAATTTTGAGTTAATTTTTATGTATGGTATAAGGTCAGGTACAGGTTCATCTTTTGCATGTGGAAATCCAGCTTTGTCAACATCTTTTGCGGGAGATGATCCTTTCCCAATTGTGTAGCAGTTGTGTTCGTGCGGCCCGCGCCATCCTGAAATTCACACGGACACAGAGTTGCAAGTTACTGCCCTCCGGGAACCTCCCCTTCTCTTCCGAAGAACCAGGAACCTGGGACCCTACAGCTCACCCGGGCCCTCTGGTAGCGTCTGGGCGCCTAACATTTCAGCGCGACCCCGCCCCAAAGGCGTGGAACTACAGTTCCCGGGATGCCAGCGTCCTCCGGTGGACTCCATTTCCCAGAGGCCTTCGCGGCCGCCCTGCTCCTCTAGGTCCCAGGCGCGCTGCGAAGCTTTTGCCGCCGGGTGAGCGGCCCGGGGCCTGAGGTCGCCCAGACGTCGGAGGAGCCGGGTCACGAGACTGGAGTCCGGCCGGGCGGTTCTGGAGCCTCCCGCCTGCGGAGTGCGGCCGGGGAGGCGCGGCCCGGGCACGCCAGATCCTGGGGAGGTGAGCGGCGTGGCTGGCTGACGGCCTGCGGCCGCCGGGGCTCCGAGGGCCTTTGTGGGCGCGGGTGGGCACCCCCGCGTCTGTCACCGGCCCCCGCGCGGGGACCTGGACTGTCGCCCCTGGCGGGCGGCTCTGGCACCGCTGCCGACGCTCCTGTCTCTGGCTCGCCGCCGCCGGCCGTGAACGAGGGGCCGGCGTCTCCTCCCGGGCCCACCCTGCCCCGCCGTGGGGGCCTCGCGGACTCGGGGCTCGGGGCGCCGGGACCCCGAGCGCAGGGCGGAGGCAGCCGGCCCCGGTTTCTGAGTCCGTGCCCAGGACGGCCGCCCTTCCCGCCCCCGGACACCCAGCGCTTTCCTCTTCAAAGCCGCTTTCTGTGCAGTCAGGAGAGGATTCCTTGGCGGGAGAGAGAGGAACCGGTGGGAGAGGCGTGAGGCGGAGGGAAGTCGTGCCCGGGGCCGTGGTTGGGGGAGTCCCGGCCGGCCTCGCAGGGGCGTGAACGGAGCAGGTGCCCCGGCGCTGCCTCAGTTTCTCGAGCGGTGCGGCGGGTGCTGGTAGTGCCAGCTGGCGCCGAGGGACAGCGGCGCGGGGCAGCCCTGGCCCTGGCGGGCTCGGCGGGTCGTGCTGCCGCTGCGGGTCCGGCGTCCCCTCCGTGAGCCCCAAGCCTGTGAGACCTGGGCCTGGACGGCGGCCGGCGCTGCTGCGGTCCGCGGGCTCCCGGCTCCTCCGACTCCCTGTGCGGGCGCCCGGGGTCTTTCTCGGCGGGAGTCGGGGTGTCGGAGCTGCGGGTTCCGGGGCTGGAAAGCATAAGGGGCTTCTTCCCGGCTCCCTTTTCCTTCTCAGATCTGCCTGCTGGAGACTGCACCGTCCTCAGGGGAGAGCCCGGAGAGGACATGGCTGCGGGGCGGCGGGAAGCGAGGCCCCAGGTGAGCTCACTGCCCTTCCAGATCCTCGTGGGTGGATTTTCCCCGCTGACTGAGGTTCTTTACCGGGACCGTCTTCAGCCAGGATGGAGCCCAAGTGCTTTTCCCTTGGAGGCGCTGGTCCGCCCTCATGAGTGGTGGATTCTGTAGGGAGGACCTCCCACCCTCCCCGTCCATGTCTAGTGGTTCTTTTTTCATTAACACACTTCGTTCATTAAATCTCAATCCGTTGCGTGACTAATTTGACAAGTAAGATACCACAAGTCTGTGTATCACTAGGGACAGAACAGACGTGCACACCTGGAAAACATCCTCGCCTCCTTCACTCAGCCTTGTCTCCTTTCCTAGCCTTTGCAGAAATACTTTTTCTTTTCACCCCTGAGAATCCTCATAACACCACCCTTTCCCCAGGCTTCTCCAACGCATCGTTTTTAGTTTTTTCTCTCTCAACTTTGTGAATCATATTCTTTGCTTGTATCACTCTCTTGAAAACTGATGTAGACCATTTTCATTTTTGTGTAGTGGGAATGAGGAGGCCACCCTTTTCTAGGTGAGACAAGAGTGAAGACCCCTCAGGTAGCCGCAGGAAGGGTTTCATGGGACATCAGTAGTGCAGAGGTAGTGTATGTGGTAGTTAGGAAGTAGGGCTGGCAAGCCAGGTGGCAGCGTTTTTACCCATCTCCTCTGTTGCTGTTTGTGGGCCTTGGGCTTCACCTCTCTGTGCCTCAGTTTTCTCAGCTATAAAATGGGAATAGCAACTGTACCCACCTCCCAGTGTAGATGAGGGGATCACATGAGTTGGTGTATGGAAAGTGGATCAGGGCTGGTCTCTGAGTAGTTACTGCTCAGTATGTGGTGGTCGTGGATGCAGAGTGACATTATTGTATTAATATATTCATATTCATGTTAATGTTGATAGAAACTGCTGTACAATGTGTTTAGGACCCAGAAGATGTTATTCTTTATTCATTTTTTTGTCTAACAATAATAATGTCCACTGAGTGTCTAGCACACCAGGGAGTGAGCTGAGGGCTTTACATTTGTTCCTTCATTCTCACAGTAACACGACAATTACAATTCTTGTTTTACATGTGAGGAAACTGAGGCTCAGAAAAGTTAAGTAACCTGAGCACAGTCCAAGTGCGTCTGGCTCTGAGTTCCCTCGGATCACCCAGTAAATCGTTCCTGTGGTGTGTCTTTCCGAGTATGGGCAGATCCAGCCACGTGATACCAGGGTTCTTCTGCGGCCTGGCATTCTCTTGTTTTTGTTTTTGTTTTTTGAGAGGCGGTCTTGCTCTGTTGCCTGGCTGGAGTGGAGTGCAGTAACACGACCTCGGCTCACTCCAACCTCTGCCTTCCAGGTTCAAGCGATTCTCCTGCCTCAGCCCCCTGAGTAGCCAGGACTACAGGCACATGCCACCATGCCTGGCTAATTTTTTTTTTGTATTTTAGTAGAGTCGGAGTTTCCCCATGTTGACCAGGATGGCCTCAATCTCCTCACCTTGTGATCCACCAGCCTCCGCCTCCCAGAGTGCTGGGATTAAAGGTGTGAGCCACCATGCCTGGCAGCATTATCTTTTAGACTAGCCAGCACAGTGGAGTGTGATCTGAGGGTGTGGCCAGAACAGGCTGTTGTGCATTTGAGCTGCTCTTTGTCCTTCAAGGCATTCCTGTTCCGTTCCCACAGAGGCAAGCTGCTCTCCTGACCAGAACCTTCTCCATCCCTGTGTTTGAGTGAGTCTCTGTGGCATCTTTCCTGTCTATTCTTGCTGCCCATGTGTCAGTAATGTGTAGACCTGTGTGTAAAAATCAGTGAAGGGAATTTTAAGACCAGAGAGAGAGTACAGAGTTCACAATTAGAAAACTGGAGTTACGATCCTGCTACTACCTGTAGCAAAGCACATGACCTGGGATCTTGGCTGCCCTGGGCCTTGTGTTCTTGTCTCAGGGCCCTATCCAGCTACACAGTTGTTTGTCATTGTTCAAATTATTTCATGCATTTTCTAGTCTGACAGTCAGATTATACATTCTTTGAGAACAAAGATCATTTCTTGTACTCTTCCCCAATATGCAAATAATTTGATGCTCTTTCTCACCATAAAAATATTGCAGGGTCATGGTCTAAACTTTAGAGAGTAATACCTTTATATATATACATTTGTAGATGTGTGTATATATTTATGTTTATGAATACATGTGTATCTATATGTGCATACCTATGTGAACGTTTATGTAGTCATATGTTGGTAATGATGTTTTGGTCAATGAAAGACCATAAATGTGACAGTAGTCCCCTAAGTTTAAAACATAGCTGAAAGATTCCTGTCTCCTATTGACTTAGTAGCTGTTGTAACATTATAATGCAAGGCTTTGCTCTTGTTTTGTAGTGATGCTGGTATAAACAGACCTACCGTGCAGCCTGCCAGTCCTATAAAAGTATACAACATATGCAACTGTGCAGTTCGTAATACTTGATAATATCTGTGTTGCTGGTTTATGTATCTATTGTACTGTTCTTGTTATTTTACAGTGTCTTCCTTTTGCTTGTTTTTAAAAAGTTAAGTGTAACAGCCTCAGGCAGGTTCTTAAAGAGGTATCCAGAAGAAAGCTTTGTTCTCCTAGGAGGTGACAGCTGCATGTGTGCCATTGCCCCTGAAGCCCTTCCAGTGGGACAGGATGTAGAGGTGGAAGTCGGTGGTATTGATGATGCTGATCCTCTGTAGGCCTAGACTGATGTGCATATTTATGTCCTAGTTTTTAACAAAAAATTTTTTTAAGTAAAAATAAAAGCTTTTAAAATAGGAGAAAGCTTGTAGAATAAGAATATAAAGAAAGAAAATATTTTTGTACAGCTAGACAATGTGTTTAAGATAAGTGTTACTACCAAAGAGTCAAAGTTTGAAAAAATTAAAAAGTTGAAAAAGTAAAAGTTACAGTAAGCTAAGGATAATTTGTTGTTAAAGAAAACTTTTGAAAAATAAATTTAGTGTAGCCTAAGCTCACAGTGTTTAAAATGTCTACAGTCTTGCACAGTAGTGTCGTAAGTTGCACATTCATTCACCGCTGACTCAGCCAGGCAGCTTCCAGTCCTGCACGCTCCATTCATGGCAAGTGCCCTGTACAGGTGTACCATTTCTTTTCTTTTATACTGTAGTTTACCATGCCTTTTCTGTGTTTAAGTATATTTACGTACACAGACACTTAGCATTGGCTTACCGTTCCCTACAGTGTTCAGTTTGGTAACCTGCTGCACAGGTTTGCAGCCTAGGAGCCATAGGCTGTACCATATATATAGCCCGGGTGTGTAGGAGGCCGTTCCATCCAGGTTTGTCTCTTACATTCCCACAGTGATGAAGTGGCTTCACAATGCGTTTCTCAGAATGTACCTCCATCACGAATGGGACACATGACTATATGCTCTACATATTTCATATATACAACAGAAAATAAAATCGCCCTCAGCCCCACCGTCTGGAGATGATCACTGGCATTCAGTTTATTGCATGTCTCAATAATTTTCTATGTATGTAGAATTTTTTTTTGTTTTTGGAGAGGGAGTCTCACTCTGTCACCCAGGCTGGAGTGCAGTGGCGCAATCTAGGCTCACTGCAAGTTCTGTCTCCTGGGTTCAAGCAATTCTCCTGCCTCAACCTCCCGAGTAGCTGGGATTACAGGCGCCTGCCACCACACCCGGCTAATTTTTTGTATTTTGGTAGAGACAGGGTTTCACCGTGTTGCCCAGGCTGGTCTCGAACTCCTGAGCTCAGGCAGTCCACCTGCTTCGGCCTCCCAAAGTGCTAGGATTACAGGCATGAGCCACCACACCCGACCAGAAACATTTTTTGAATGAGGACAAACTCGAAACAGTGATACATAACGTACTTTGTACTTAACATTTTCATGGGTGTCTTTTTATGTCAACAAATAGCAATTTATACCATCAGCTCTAATGATTGCCTACTATTTGTATGAATGTGATAATAGCTAACATTTGAACCTTTAATGTGAGCCCGATATGATTTTAAGTGCATTGTGCAGATTATCGTATTTATTTATTAACTATGTGGTAGATTTTGAGAGGCAGTTTCAGAGTACTTTTGAATGGAGCCTAAGACATCTGCCTGGATTGGAATCCCAGCTATACCACTGAACAGCTGTGTGACTTTAAACAAATTTTTTTTTCTTTTTTGAGATGGAGTCTCTTTCTGTTTCCAGGCTGGAGTGCAGTGGCATGATGTTGGATCACTGCAACCTCCACCTCCTGGGTTCAAGCGATTCTCCTGCCTCAGCCTCCCGAGTAGCTGGGACTACAGGTGCACACCACCATGCCTGGCCAATGTTTGTATTTTTAGTAGAGACGGGGTTTCACCATGTTGGCCAGGATGGTCTGGATCTCTTGACCTCGTGATCCACCCACCTCTGCCTCCCAGAGTGCTGGGATTACAGGCATGAGCCACCACACCCAGCCAACTTTAAACAAATTTCTTAGCCTTTCAGTGACTTTGCTTTCTTTGATGTAAAATGGAACAATAACTATTTTCTTCATAAGGTAATTGTGAAGGTTAGATAAGGTATATGCTAATGATTAATATAAAGCTCTAAATATAGTGTCTGGCCCATGTAAAGCATTCACTAAAAGAGAGGTATTCTGATTTTCATTATTATCTTCACACTTGAATCAGCACACAGGTAGTGCCATAAGTTATTTAACCCAGCCTCTATCCGTATTTAGGTTGTTTCCAGTTTTTTTTTGCTACTAACACCATGATAAGTATCCTTGTGCTGGTATTTTTGTGCACTGTTTATTAAAGTAATTGGTGAGTTAAAGATTATACACAGTTCTAAGTTTTTATGTATTGTCAAATTGCCAACAAAAGATTATTCTAATGAACACTCCCACTAATGGCCATAATCCCTCTACCCATCTCTTACCGTGGCTGCACAAGGCCTGAATCTCACTGTGTGCTGCTCAGTATATATTCATTACTGGCAAATTGTTCATTAAAGGAATGATCTGGAACCTTCAGAAGCTTAAATAGTATCAGAACTGTTATCACGGGTAGCGTGTCTTCCCCACTGCCACCCCGTCCACTCTGCGAGGGGGGTCCTGGGTGAGCTGGAACAACTTGTCCTTACAGGTGTCACTGACGTTCGAGGACGTGGCCGTGCTCTTCAGCCGGGATGAGTGGAGAAAGCTGGCTCCTTCTCAGAGAAACTTGTACCGGGATGTGATGCTGGAGAACTACAGGAACCTGGTCTCGCTGGGTAAGGAGGTTTCCCCTGTAGAAACAGAATTCGAAAATTGGGATAGCTCAGCACCTCCTTCCCTGAATAAAAGCGGTTGGTCACTGAAAAACTTGAGCTGAGTTTGAGGATTATACAAATCAAATCTCTATAAATAAACATTGAAAACTAACTTTCTCCTAATAAGAATGGAATTGTTCTATGTATTGGCAGATGGGTATTGATAATTATCCCCTTCCTGCTACACAATTTCACATTAGAAATTCTCTCATAGTTCAGGCAGCATTTTCCTGCTTTGATTGTTCTGTGGTTTGTTTGCTCATCTCTCAGCAGAGGGCTTACCTCATCCTTCTTCATCCACCTACCGTTGCCTTTCCCACTTCTCTTTTCCAGTCAGATGAATCTTGTAAAATTCACCTTCAAAAGGGAATCTCATGATGTTTTCTCATTATAAAAAAAGTTACTTGATACACCATTCTATAGATGCCAGTTTATAAGTTTTAATTACATCTATACATGCAACATTCCTTCTATAGAAAAGCCACGGTACTCTAGTAATCAGGGCATGCTTTGTTGTGTCAAAACCAAGACCAAGACTTTTTTTTTCTGTCTACATGCAGGACTCCCATTTACCAAACCAAAAGTGATCTCTCTGTTGCAGCAAGGAGAAGATCCCTGGAAGGTGGAGAAAGACAGTTCTGTTGACTCCTCTCTGGGTAAGTGGGTGGCCCAAGGTGCTCGGGAATCGCCGCAGACAGCGGTCTGGTTAATGAGAGGAGGTAGGAGTGTTGGTTGGGAAACTCCCTTGAGAATTCTCAGACCTCAAGAAGGGGTGGGGAAGGGGAAGCCCAGGCTCTTAGACACGATTACTCCCGTGTAATCACTTCCCCGTGAATCTCTCAGAATCTCTTTTCTTATTCTTTCCTTTTGTTTTAGAATGGGGCCGTATTTTCATGTATTCATTCAGCAAACATAGTATGTTTTAGGAATTTCAAATAATCACTCTGGCTGAAGCTCAGTGTGTATTTGGGAAAGGAGGAGGTGAGGAAGGAAATAGAAAGCTGGGAAAGGGCTGCGTGGTAAGAGCTTTGGCACAGTTCTAAGAGGTGGAAACTGTCCCATGGAGCACTGGAAATAATTGAAGGATTTGGGCAGGGAATCGTATGGTTCTTGGTATCTTAGAGAAGTTGGTGTGATTCAGAAACAGTTGAGTCTCCATCAGTGTAAGAACAGCTAAGGGACCTGCGGCGTGTCCCTACTCTGGCGAGCATCACCACCCTGAAGACAAGAGTCCAGGGACGTGGACAGAGCTCCCAGCAAGTTACAGAGCATTGTTAGGACGCCACCATCTATGTTTAATGAAAATTATGTGTGTGTGTCATGTGCACGTAAGCCCAGAGAGAAAGGTTAGGAGGACACACCTTAATTAACTGGTGACATTAGTTATACTTGGAATAGGATTGAGAATGGGTCCATGAAAGGAGATGTTATTTACATGTAATGTTTTAAATTTTCACAAAGAGAACATATTCATGACATTGCTATGTGATTTGAACTTAATACAGATGGTCACTTTGGGAGTATCGTGACTGAAAGTGAGGCAAAACTAGAGGCGGGAAGCCTTGCGGAGTCATTGCAGTCATGGAGGGAGGCAGGAGGTGGGAGGGTCTGGATGAAGGCACTTGCCGTGAGTTTGTGAGGGGGGAGGAGGAGGTGCCCGCGTGATCAGGGCACAGGAGCAGGTGGGTGTGTGATGGATCTCACATGAGATGTGAGTGAAGTAGTCGGGTGGAGATCGCTGGTGGGCAGGTGTGTAAGTGACAGGGCCGAGACTCAAGCGAGGTCAGGGAGCCATCAGCATGACAGGGGCATTGGAAACCTGGAGCTGGCTGGGTGAGGGGGCCGGGTGGAGGCCTGAATTTCACGAAACGGCATTTGCTAGGTGCTTAAGCAGGAAGAATCTGACAGAGCCCGAGAAGTAATCAGAGGAGAGAAATGGGGAGAGGCCATTGTGGCAGTGGGGGACTGAGCGTGGTTGGGGGACTGAGAGCGGTTGGGGGACTGAGCGCGGTTGGGGGACTGAGCGCGGTTGGGGGACTGAGCGGTTGGGGACTGAGCGTTGGGGACTGAGAGCAAGTTGGGGGACTGAGCGCGGTTGGGGACTGAGCGCGGTTGGGGGACTGAGCGCGGTTGGGGGACTGAGCACGGTTGAGCTGGGGGGACTCTGGCTCTGGGGGATCGAGGTTGAAGCCTCGCCCACAGCTTTCTTGTCCCTTGTATAGCACTGGGCAGAAAGGGATGCAGGTCTTGCGCTTCTGGAGTGCACGATCTAGCGGGGGACAAGGTGAACACACTCATTGCACACAAGGCACAGAAGGACACGTTCCAGTGAGGACCACGTGGGAAAGACACTCGGTGCTGTGAGAGTGCAGAGCAGGCAGGTGACGCCAGCAAAGGCTTTCCTGAGGAAGGACCTGGGGTCAAAGGACTGAAGAATTGCCCCAGGCCTAACGAATGGGGTTCGTGGCCGTGCACGGTGGCTCATGCCTGTAATCCCAGCACTTTGGGAGGCCGAGGTGGGTGGATCACAAGGTCAGGAGATCAAGACCATCCTGGCTAACACGGTGAAACCCCGTCTCTACTAAAAATACAAAAAAAATTAGCCAGGCATGGTGATGGGCGCCTGTAGTCCCAGCTACTCGGGAGACAGGCAGGAGAATGGCGCGAACCCGGGAGGCGGAGCTTGTAGTGAGCCGAGATCGCGTCACTGCACTCCAGCCTGGGCGACTGAGCAAGACTCTGTCTCAAAATAATAATAATAATAATAATAATAGATTTTCCCTAGTTGTTACAAATATCAAAATTTCATTCCTTTTTGCTCTTGACTAGAATTCCATTGTACGGATGTACCACAGTTTATGAACTCATGGAAGGACATTTGTGTTATGTGACATTTGTTTCCAGTTTGGGACAATTGTGAAAAACAACAAGTTACAGTGAGGAGCTGCAGGGCAGCCTTGGTCCCCAGGGTCCTGTGCTGGGGAGAGCTTCCTCGTGATGATAGCTTGAACTTTTTTTTTTTAATAGGGGAACCACACTTGTGTTTTGAATCTCCTTTGATAGAAATACACTCATTTTTTATTAAATTAATTTATTATTTAATTTTTTATTAAATTAAAATTTAATGAACTGCCAGAGGCTACCACAAAGTAAGCAGAATGCAAGCAGCAGGGAACCAGGTAAGATCTGAGAGGGGCGTCAGTCTGGCCATTGTGCGTGGGCTGAATCTGGTGTGGAAGATGAGGAAGAGAAGAAAGAATTGTTCTTTTCCCCCTTAACTGGGGAGCATCTGATGGCTGAGTAAGTCTTCCCTCTAGAGAGAAGTATTAACAGGCTGAAAATATAACTGGAGTCCAGAGCTGTCCAGAGGGATGCCGGGCACCTGGTAGTGTTGTCAGTCAGTCCCTTTTCAGATTCGGGAAGATGGCCCTGTGGGAAAACCGTGAGCAGTTTATTGAGTAAGGAAGGACGTCAGAGCTGTTTTCTGCCCGGTTCCTCTTGGTGGGATGACCTTCTCCTCCTCGTGTCAGATGGAAGTCAGATGGCTTTCCTAGGGTGCTGACATGTGCTTGCGTCTCTGCTGCACCCCTGGTGGGGCTCCTGTATGCCTGGACTAAGATTGCCTCAGGACAGCTTCCTTTTCCCATGAGAGCTCACTTCATTGAGAGCGTGGTTGAAGGACTGGGATGTTCCTGGAATTATCTCAGATTATTAACTCTAGCTCGAACCAAAAACTCAACCTGTAGGCTGGGTGTGGTGGCTCATGCCTGTAATTCCAGCACTTTGGGAGGCCGAGGTGGGAGGATCACTTGAGCCCAGGAGTTTCAAGACCAACCTCGGTAACATAGACCCTGTCTGTGTTTGTGTAACTTTAAAATAGAAAAAAATTATTTTAGACAAAAACCTACCCTTCGAACAGCCAGTGATGGAAAAACTTGCACTCCCAGGGATAGGATTCTCTGGAACCTCCAGTGGCCTCAAAATGTACTTGTTACTTTCTTTTGAGCTGGGCTCTTGCTCTGTGGCCCAGGCTGGAGTGCATTGGCGTGATCTCAGCTCACTGCAGTGCCCTCCTCCCAGGTTCAAGCGATTCTTGTGCTTCAGCCTCTCAAGTAGCTGGGATTACAGGCGCACACCACCATGCCGGGCTAATTTCTGGCTTTTTTTTAGTAGAGACCGGGTTTTGCCATGTTGGTCAGGCTGGTCTCGAACTGGCCTGAAGTGATCTGTCCGCCTCAGCCTCCCACAGGGCTGGGATGACAGGTGTGAGCCACCGCGCCCGGCCTGCTTTGTTTCCTTACTGCGAGAAGCCATCTTGGGCAGGCTGAACTGTGCAGGGTGGTGAGTGGAGCGGTTGCTCAGAGCGTTTGCCGGAGCTGGGACTGCACGCAGGAGGGTTGTCTTTTCCTCATTTGCACAGAATGCTGTGGGGCTTAGCAGCAGCCCTTATGACATGGCCTGGAATGGTTTTAAAAAGTGACTGCTTACAAGATGGAAGTGTGGCCACCATGCTCTGTAGCCCTGTTTGATTTTACTTGTGTTCGTAGAGATGGAGGTCTTGCTATGCTGCCCAGGCTGTTTTTGAACTCTTGGCCTCAAGCAGTCCTCCCATGTCAACCTCCCAAAATGCTGGGATTATAGGCCCCTCAGTGCTCTGAAAATGTGGGCTCCTCTCCTACTTGAGTGCTGGCTGCACATCTCAGCTTGGCACTGCCAGGCTGCCCACCACAGCTCTGGGGTGATCTCGGTTTATGTTCCCTCCCTAGCTTGGAGGCAACAGGGGAAGGGACTTGGTTGGTGGTGTTTGTGACAGAGCCTTTCACTTGTCTGTGGGCCTCTCTACCCTAAAGAGATGCAGAACCACTGTCCATCAGTGCAGTTGGCCCAGGGTGGATGGCTGCCCTGTGCCCAAGATGGGGAGGGAGGCCCTGCCTGGTGAGGAGCAGGAGGAACTGGCAGGGGAAGGAAGGTCACCAGCAAGACAGACTGACTGCTGCTTATGGCAACTGCAGCTTCCTGGAGGTACAGCTAAAGTACTCAGGGCTTTTGTTCCTTCCACAGTCCAAGGGTAGCAAGGGCAATAGCACTGCAGTGGCAGCGACAGAGGGACTTCCGATTGCCTCTGTCAGTTCCACCTCAGAAACACGGAACGACTGCTACTGGGAATCTTCGGCCGAGGGGTGAGGTGGCTGCACTGCCGGCCTGAGGTGGGGGATCTGCCTGGTGAAGAGTCAGGGATTAGTGCTCACAGGGAGAGGAGACTGAGCTCCCGTCCGTATGTGACTGTGGCATGCTGGAAGCGCAAGTGGAGGCTTCACTGTTTCTTCCCCAGACCGAGGGCAGCAGGTGCAGGACTGCCGCTGTGGCAGTGGCATAGGGGCTGTCAGTTGCCATTGGGAGCCCTTCCTCAGGGAAGCACAGAGCCACTACCAGTGGGAGTACTCAGCCAGGGGAGGGACGGCTGTTCTGCTGTCCAAAGCCAGGGTCCCTGCCTGGTGAGGAGTTGGGTATGGGAGCTCACAAGGTAGAGAGACTGGGCTTGTCTCCATATGGTGGCTGTGGTGTACCAGAGGTACCAGCGTAGCGACCGGGCCCTGGGTTCCTTCCCCAAGCCAAGGGTGGATAGTGGTACCATTTCAGCTATAGTGGTGGAGGG